CGCACGTAGCTCCATCGCGAGAGCGCACTTCCTGCAGACACTGTGAGGAAATTCCGCGCGAGAGCGCGATTTGGTAATACATCGTGGGGAAGTATTAGGCAGGAGCCGCTGTTCTTGTAAACCGCAGGCCAGGGATACAGTTTGAGCCAGAATCTTTTCCCTGATGAAAAGCGGTGGCGAGCCCCTGAAGGAGCACCTTAATTGACAAACGCACACTGTTCAGTGATGGGGAAACCAACAATAGTCAATCACCAAGTATTCGAATTCAACAGGGACAACAAGAAGCGACCACAACAACAGCAACAACAACAGCAACACCAACAACAATAAGAACATCAGCAACCATACTTACCAACAACAGCAGCGCCACCACCAATAAGACCAACAACAACAGCAACCACAACAACAGCAGCAACAAACACCATAACAGCAACAATGCGTTTAAGACTGTTCTATCCACGTGTTCAGCGTGCCGTTCGACACGTATACCCAGAACCCTCGATACCTGTCTTATTCGTTTTCGATCGTGCCCCCTACTAGCATGTAGTGCTGCCCCTGAAACAGGGGAGGGGGGAACGAATGAGAGGTGGATAGAGAAGGATAAAGCGCGAACGAAATGAGTAAGGGGGGGCTAGACACAGAAAACACGTGGCAGAACCAGACGGGCAGATTGGGCGGGCTGACCCTAACGGACGGGTCGGGAAGGCGGGCCCAAGCGGCCAGGTCGAGCAAGTGGGTTGCTGAAGCGTGAATCCTGCATGGGCCGCGAGGCAGTCTCAAGTAAATCGTGAGAACAGCCAGAGCGAGAGTGTGATTCCTGAATGCCGAGGGCGCGGCGTGTGAATAATTTGCAAGGAAACCGCGCGAGAGCGCGGCTACGAGTTACTAGATCAATCGGGAAAAAAGCCCCGCGAGAGAACGCAAGTTGTGGCGAAGTATCCGGCGGGAGCTGCTGTTGTCGTGGACAGGGAGCCAGAGGCACAGTTTGAGCATGATGCTTTCCATTGGCATAAAGCAGGGTGCGAATCCCGACGGAGGCACTCGAATAGAACAACGCTTTGTGTACCTGTGGGGGATCAGCAAGATTTGTTCTCCAAGCGTGAGGCTTCAACCATAATTCTAAGAGTGTTCGCTCCTACCCGCTCGCGTGCCATTCAATACGCATACCCCAAGCCCTCGGCACCTGCCCTCTTCGTCTTCGATCGTACCCCCTTGGGTGTATCGGAGGTGAGGGGGTGAGATCGAAGTGGAACGGAGAGCCCCCCTACCGGGAAATCGATTTCGGTTTCGTGTTCGTGCGTGCCGTGCGCGCGGGCGAGGCGAAGCTGCGTGGGCGGGCGAGAGGAAAGTCTCCTGAGCCTGTGGCTGAGGCGCGGCCGGACCAAATGTGTCTCTTCCGGGCGGCCGGTGGCGCGCGGTGTCCCGCCGGTGTCCCGCTGGTGTCCCGAGTGAGATCGATAGTGAGATCGATTGTGAGATCGATTGTGAGATCGATAGTGAGATGGATAGTGAGACCGAATGTGAGACCGAATGTGAGATCGACTGTGAGATCGATTGTGAGATCGATAGTGAGATCGACAGTGAGACCGAATGTGAGACCGAATGTGAGATCGATTGCGAGATCGATTGTGAGATCGATAGTGAGATCGATAGCGAGATCGATAGTGATATCGATAGTGAGATCGGATGTGAGATCGATTGTGAGATCGATAGAGAGATCGATTGAGTGAGACGTTGGTTCCCCCTCCCCCCTCACCTCCTTATCACCCGCAGGGTGGTCGTATAGGTATCCCCCTTACGTGCCACGCGCATGTTTTGCAGCCCCCTGGACAGGGGAAGAGAAGACGGGTGGAAAGGGGACGGAGAATGATGGAGCAAAACAGAAATTTGCAGGAGGGGGGGGCATGAACAAAAAACATTTGGCATATCCAGACGGGCAGATCGGGCGGGCAGATCCTAGCGGGCGGGGCGGGAAGGCGGGCCCAGGCGGCAAGGTCGAGCAGGCTGGCTGCTGAAACGTGAGTCCTGCATGGGTCGCAGGGGAGTCTCGAGTTAGATCGCGATTCCCAAGGAGCCAGAGCGTGATTCCTGAGTGTGAAGGACGCGGCGTCTGCATAGATTGCGAGGAAGTGCCACGCGAGAGCGCGATTCCTGCACATAATGTGATGAAGTCCCGTGGGAGAGCATGAAGGTGAAATACATTGTTAGGAAGTATCAGGCGGGAGCCGTTGCTGTTGTAGTCCGGGGGAGCAATTCAGTTTGGTGACGCGCAGCTTTCCCTTGTAAAAGATTGGGTGCCAGCCCCAGGAGGGGCGCTGCACTTAAACATACAATGGTCACCCAGGGGAGGAACAATTGTTCCTCCCCGTAGAGATGAGAGTTAAACAATTTCAGTCGTAATACGTAATACCCATGAGTTAAGATTGACACTGTTCGCTCCTATCCGCTCGCGTGCCACTCAACACATGTCCCAGTGCCTCTTTACCCGCCTTTTTCGTATTCGATCGTACCCCCTTGGGGGTATATCGCCGTTACTTGCTGCGCGCATGTTGCGCAGCCCCCATAACAGGGGAAGAGAGGACGGGGAGTGATAAAAGTTGACCACGGGAGAAATTCGCAGGAGGGGGGCCAGGAGCAGAAAACACGACGCAGAACCAGAGCCAGGGTCGCATTGACCCAGTCTTGGGCGCAGCTGCAGGTTCCTGCAGAAGATCAAGGTCTGACTGACCCGGGTCTGCCTGGAATGCTCCTGGGCCCATAGATCCCCGAAAGCGAGCAGCTGATGTGGCAGCCTTGCGTGGCGCATTGGCACCAGCTGCGGCGCGAGGAGGATCGGAGGCAGCTCGAACTGCAGGCGATGCGCCGCGAGGAGATCGGACCACAGAAGCCGCAGGGTCGCCTACCGACGGCAGCGCTGCGGCGGCGGGTCCCGAGGGAGGCGGGCGGGCCCTGCAGGCTTTTCGCCGTGGCTTCCTGGGTGTCGCCTGCGCGGGGCCGGGGATGACCGAGAGCGGATCAGGTCGGGGCTCGAGGGGCGGGGGGGTCCATGCAAACGGGGGGCAGCCCGAGCGTTGGATCTTGCAGGATCCTTCAGAGCCAGGAAATTACCACCCCAGTTGGGGATACAGCCCTCGAAACCCGAAGGGGACAGCCTATATCCCCATCTAGGGGTATAAATCGGCCAGTGGGGCCCAGGCCACGCCGCTGGGGATGGGGGTCAGATAAACGATGCTCGGTTTGGGTGCAGGATGCTGCAGGATCCTGCAGGAGCCTGCAGGATCCTACAGAGCCTGGCCGGCCCGGGTTCTGTATCCACCCGGGTCAGTGCGTCCCCGATGAGGATGGAGGGCTGGCCCTGGTGGGAAGCTCCGAGTCGGCGGCGAGAACCGAAGCCAGCATTGATGAGCGCGTTTTCCACCACCACCACCATAAGTTGGATGGGGCGAAGGGGGAGGAGGAGGAGGAGGAGGAGGAGGAGGAGGAGGAGGAGGAGGAGGAGGAGGAGGAGGAGGAGGAGGAGGAGGAGGAGGAGGAGGAGGAGGAGGAGGACCCCCCCCTCCAACTTATGGTGGTGGTGGTGGAAAACACGCTCATCAAGCATTTTCTGAACCACAGTTCAGGCAACTCGATGGGCGGCGGGGGTAGGGTTCGTGATTCGTCGAACATGTGGCGAAATCCGAAGCCTACCCCCACCTCCCATCGATTCAGGAGAATCTATGCTTGGCGGGGGCAGGGTTCGGATGTCGCCACGCACAGGGCTGGGACCTTTCCTCAGAGCCACCTTTTCAACCGGAGCAGCGTTTTGACCGTCCTGGGGCCCGTCGAGGGCCCCCCTCAGACACCGAACATGGAGACGGGCACTCCTGTGCTCTGTTTGTTTAGGCGTTGGAGGTTCGAGTGAGCCTGGACATGCTGTTCTTAAGTCGGGCCTATCCCTCTACAGGAGGAAAATTCAAAAATAGTGAAAAATTAGTCTGGGCACGACTTCCTGGGTATTTTCAAATATTTTTGAATATTTTGAGTCTGTTTTACTTTTCGTCCAAAATCTGCCTGTAGGGGGGCATGCCCGACCTAATGCTGTGGGCATGTTGATTGGAAACTGACGGGGCCGCGCATTCACACAGAAGCACTGTCAAGGTGCCCGCGGAACCAGTGGTCGGCTTTATGTCGGCATGCTGCCATACGGCCGAGACGTCAGGACGCTGGAGTCAGGCCTCGGGATGGGCTCTCGTTTTCGGGCCCAGATCTAGCCTGGGGGCCTCTTCGGGGCCGAGGCTCGCCGTGGCCAGGGGAGCCCCGCCGTTCCCTGTTGAGCGTCCGTTCTGGTAGCACGACGACCGCATCCTCGTCCACCGCCCCGTGGGGTCCTGGGAGCTCGGTCTCCCCCGGGCAGCGCACCTGCGCGGCTTCTGAGACAGGCCGGCCGCCTCCTGACCCACCTCTTCGGCACGCCGCCGCTTCGCGGCGGCGCGCCCAGGGGAGGAAGGCATGGGGGGGGCGGTGCTTCTCAGAAGGCTCAGAAGGCCTCCGGCCTCCCTGAGATGCCTGCTGCACCTCCGAGGACGCATGGGGGCCTCTCGGAAGGCTGGCGGGTTCTTCAGAGGCCCCACCGCCTTCTGAGGAGACGGCCTGGCCCTTCGCACTTCCCCCCGCGGCGCGCCGCCGCACATCCACATCAACCTCCAAGGAGGAGGAGGAGGAGGAGGAGGAGGAGGAGGAGGAGTCAGAAGGAGGAGAAGGAGGAGGATGAGGAGTAGGAGGAGTCAGAAGGAGGAGTCAGGAGGAGGAGGAAGGAGGAGGAAGAGGAGGAAGCGGAGGAGAACGAGGAGGAGGAGGAAGAGGAGGAGGAGGATGAGGAGGAGGAGGAGGAGGAGGAGGAGGTGGAGCAGGAGGAGGAGGAAGAGGAGGAGGAGGATGTACAGGAGAAACGGGGACCGAGGTGCAGAGAAGGAGCGGACGGAGGAGGAGGAGGAGGGAGCGTAAGCGGCCAGTCTCCACAGGACTTGGAGTGGCTGCGGATGATGCTGAACGAGGCGATGGAAAGGCACTCCCTGCCGCTTGCGGAGGCAGGGGGCATCAGGAGGGACGAGCAGGCGGAGGAGGAGGAGGAGGAGGTGGAGCATTATGATGATGATGAAGAGGAAGATGAGGATGCTGCTGATGATGATGCTGATGCTGGTAATGATGTTGATGATGTTGTTGATGATGTTGATGATGCTGATGATGATGATGATGATGATGATGATGATGATGATGATGATGCTGATGATGATGATGATGATGATGATGATGATGATGGTGCTGCTGATGATGATGATTATAATGATGGTGAGGATGGTGATGAGGATGAAAAGGATGATGAGGATGAATATGAGGATACTAGTGAGGATGATGATGATGATGAGGAGGAGGAGGATGATGATGCTCATGATGATGCTGATGATGATGATGCTGATGATGATGCTTATGATCCTGATGATGCTGATGATGTTGATGATGACGATGGTGATGATGATGGTGATGATGATGCTGATGATGATGATGAAGAAGACGATGATGACGATGATGATGAGGAGGAGGAGGAGGTGGAGGAGGAGGAGGATAAGGAGGAGGAGGAGGAGGAGGAGGAGGAGGAGGAGCAGGTTGAGAAGGGGGAAGACCAGGGAGCTGGGCAGAGCGGGAGGAGGGGGCGAAGGGAAGAGGATGAACAAAGATGGAGAAGGATGACGAGGAGGAGGAGGATGAAGACGAGGAGGAGGAGCATCAGCAGCAGGATGAGGAGCAGCACGGTAATGAGCAGGAGAAGGGAGGCGGATTGTTTGTTGGCCTACCAGGTTGCCCGAGGCGAGGCCATGCGGTTTGCTTCCCCTTCGTCAAGAATCAATCGTCCTTGGCCCCTCCTCCCCTGAAGTCCTCCGCCTCCGCCGCCGCTGCCTCAGCTATCTGGCAGCTATGTTGCCCTCACATCTGGCAGGCCATTACTGCAGCCGTGGTTGCCCCTTTTGCAAGACTCCACCCAAAGCCTGGGCCGCAGCACACAGACACACACACACAAACATATGTACACATTTATACACATACAACACACTCACACACACACACACTCGAAGAGATGTGCGCGGCCGGCCCAGATCACGCGGCGTGGAGACATTGGATCCGCCCACAAGGGATCGACGGGGTCATGTTCGGGAGGGGGGAGGGGCAGACGCGAGGGGGAACGGCGGGGAGACGGTGAGACACGGGGAGAGACAAGGGCAGGGCCAGTGCACAGCACAATTACGGAAGGACGGAGCGCAGCCACGGGCCGCCAAAGGCGGGCCGAGAGGGGAGAGGCGACAGGCAGTCGAGGCCCAGCCAAGGGCACACGCACACACGCGCCTCCTTCCCGCCCCTCCTTGCAGGTGCCCCGAAGGCGAAGTGGGCGAGGACCTGAGAGGTCACCTGACGGCCGCCATGGGGAGCCTGCAGAGATGCAGCCAGTCCTCGCGCGCGGGCTAGCCCGCTCCAGCCAAAAGAGCGGGCGGGCCCGCTTCTCGTCGTCGTCATCGTCCTCGTTTTCGTTGCCGACCCCAGGAAGAGGAGCAGCAGAAGGGGAGGAGGAGGAGGAGGAGGAGGAGGAGTAGTAAGAGGAGGAGGAGGAGGAGGAGGAG